TGTGTGTGTGTGTGTGTGTGTGTGTGTGTGTGTGTGTGTGTGTGTGTGTGTAATTGTAGGTAAAATCTGTACTTGTAGAAAGGAGACCAAAAGGGGGAAGTAATATATTAGGAAAAAGGATAGAGAGTGGGCAAAAGGACATGTGACATAAATGTTAACAAAATATTGTCTGGGAATCTGCAAGGGAAGCAAAGGTAGCAGAGCCTGAGAAGATGGGGGAAATGATAGCCATTTAACATGATTTGTTTGAATGTGTCCAATGCTATTATATGCTGAGTGAGAAAATTTTTAAATAATTTACATATTTTATTCAATCTAAGAAGGTGATATAAGCTCACTGGCCCTTACTTCTTCCCCTTTACTTCATTTAGCCCATTATTTTTTCAAGACACACTTTTGATCTACAGTCCATGCTGGCCTAGACATTTGAATACCACATATTTAATGTATTTTCTGTAAAGTGTCATAATCACATTAAAACAAGTTTGCATGTCTTTCAGTCAAGTACTTTTTGCCTAGGTCAAAAAGTTTAAGGAACAGATATTACCTGTGGCAGTCCTCATATAGGTAGTAGGGTTTGTCTAATTAAGAAATTCTTTGAAATTTTTTGTGCCTGTCCATGTCTCATGAGTGAGGATTTCTAAGTGAGACATACGTTGTTAGTAGAAGTTGTCTGGTGTTGAACAATACATGATTACAGAATGTTACTAGTAGTAATAAACATTTGTTTTCTGGATTGAAGAAGTCATTATATCTGCCCATATCCTCTCATTCATGAGATGCAACAACATAATGATTGTGTTTTGATCTCAAAACATGAAATGACATTTTAATAGTAAGTAATAGTTCCACTAAACTCCAATAGAGGACATATTGTCTTAAGATTAGAGGCATAGCATAAGTATTTCAGTCCTACTTCAGAAAACTCGTGCTCATTAGAATATGTCTAAACTTTTATCATTTTCAATAGTGAAAACAGTAAGAATAAAAGCCTTTGATAGCTTGTGTGGTGAATAAGAGAAATATGGAAAAATGAAGAATTCCACCACTATAGAAATTCCAACTTTATAGAGACCACAGTTTAAATGAGCTAAAACCTATTAAGAAATGTAGTTTATTTAGGCCTGACGATCCCACAGTCTTGTGTTCTCTGTATTTTGACCCATCATGATTTTATGTATTAACCATTACCAACTGTAAAAGAAGCTTCTCTGATGATTTTTGGGAACTGAAATAATCCATGGGAATTTAGGTATTCATATTAATCCAGCAAATGTTTAGGCTGTTGATTCTCTAATAGATTACCCTACACTCACACATTGGCAGCACTAAGTAGACTGAGATTGTTTTAAATGCATGAAGTGTGAATAGGAATGATATGGGTATTTGTGAAGAAATTGAAGAGTATATAAAAGGGAATGGAAGTGATAGAAACACATTTTTTTGAATTTACAAAACTTTCAACCGAAAACTGGAAAGAAAATGTAGCTTAACAATATATTTCCATTTTTTTGCATTGTTACCTCAAAGTCCCCTTTTCCTTTTTCCTCTAAGCAAAATTCTACCTGTTTAGTAACTGATGACTGCAGATGTAATTCCTAGATGCCCAGGATATTAACACAATCATGGGCTATTCTGATTCCATGAAATATTCCTGCAAAGATGAAAGAAAGGGGAGAGGAGAACTGTGCTGAACCCGTGGAGATTATGCACCTGCTGTGGTACATAGAAAGACAGTTTCAATGTTTAAAACACAACATAATTTTCTATTGTGGTGTTCCTTCTATTCCAACTATGTAAAATGGTCTTCCTTATAGTACTCAAATTGTTAGTGCATCTAAAAGTTCACAAAAATAAATTGCCATGCCTATCTCTAAACATACTCCATACATCAAAATGTTTAAGGGCATTTCCCAAAATCTTACCCCATCAGGATGGATCAGGTGTATTCTGTAAGCCTAATTAGTATCTTAAGTATTAATCTAGTCCATACTTAGAGTGTATCACTGTTTGAGATTTTTAATGCTGATAAAATGATAAATAAGATGTGAAAAGCTGAATGGAGTTAATAAAGTGGTGAAAACAATTGTACACACTTGTAACCTTATTGCTCTTTCTGTGATCTGTGAGTGACTTTCCTGCCATGTCTGTGCCGGTGCAAGTGTTTCTATTCTTTGGAAATCTGAGAAGATATCCAAGAAAATAGAGTAGAAAACATGGAATCTCTTTCCATAGTAAAACTGCAGGGAGTATTTTAGTCTTCACAGGGTCTGAAAATACGCCCCCCCACCTTGGTATAAGCTCTTGTTTCAAAAGAGACAAACCAGTGTAAACATTTTTCATTAATTTTTATTTTTAAAAACTACACCAGAGAGGAGAATGCCAATATAAAACAACCTCAGTTATGAGGACTATAATTACATTACTTCTTAACATACCTGGAGTAGTTAAAAAAAGATTATAATCCTTGATGTCCTGTAAGTCCATAGAAATGTGGCTACTTTTCACTACTGGAAAACTTAACCCATGGAATGAAGAATGAGCATATAGCTTATTACTTCAGTTAAGGTCCAATGAAAAAATATGTTAAGGTGACTCTGTTATACTTACAGGAACATTTGTGCTACTTAACAAATGGTTCAAAAAATCTTATTTTCTTTTCCTGTGGGTTAAACATCTGGGGGAAGTGGAATATTGTAGGCACAATGGAATTTCTGAGTAAGTTTTCTTTAAACTCACCACAACTAAGAACAACAGCACAAAAGTCTTCATAACTGTGTTTGTTTTATTTTAGCATTCTTCTACCCATGAGTTTCATGATGACAAATCAATAATTACCCTGTCTCTACCAATATAAAAATCTCCATCAGTACTTACTGGGTTGGGCTTCTTCCTTGCTGGGCCATAACAACGAAGTGCAGATATGAAGAGCCCCCCATTTCCTGTGCCCAGTGAGTAGTCAATCTCTGACCTAAAGATGGATAGTATTAAAAGGAGGTGCTCCACAATTCAGAAGACTGTGGCTAAAGAGACACAGAAATGCATAACTAATTGAGCTAGTGAACAGAATGACTAGCAAAGCTGCTTATTGTCTTTCTATGGCCCATAAAATGCACTCATGGAGCTCATTACCCAAATTGGTCAGTGTTCTCCCAGTCTCTAGGGAATGGCTATAATTAATAGAAGAAGAAAGGAGAAAATTTTTGTTGTGTATAGGCTTTGGTTATTCCTCTCTTTGGGTGGTATTCACTCATAACACACACACACACACACACACACACACACACGTGTGAAATTCTCACTTGATATTATTACATTTCCATAGGATAAAGTATATTTTTATACACTTAGCCTTTCACTACATCAAAGACTCACCTCAGTGACACTAATCACATTCTGATTTTTTCAAAGCGATCAACATGACACAACTCCAAAAACTATTTTTTCCCAAATGTAAACTATATACTCCAATTTTAGAATCTATATTCTCTCTAATATTCAATTATGAGCATTATCATTTCCCTATGAATAGGATAATAAAATCAAACAATGGGAAACCAAAAATAATGTGACCAAAATGTGCTCATTTGCATTTAATTACACCTGTTAAATTTATTCACTTTTTGTAATTATTTTTATTATTTGAGATTATTGTATAATTATATAATTTTCCCTTTTCTTTCCTCCCTTCAAGCCATCAAATATACCCATCCTTCTTTTTTTCATGTTTGCTGCCTCTGTTTTCATTAATTTCTGTTATCTAGGTATCTATCATATATCTTTCTGTCATCTATATATAATAACATTAAATGAGTTACATTTGATTTATGAACTTACTCCTAAAACTGTTATACTGTAAATTTTACTCCTTTATAGATAGTATAAATGCAAAGTACTCAGATTTCACAGCAAAAGTATGCTGCTATATAAAATATGTTATTTGGTATAATTTAGTATTAATGATACAACATAAGCATTGATGGTACTTTTAAAGATGATAATGGTTACTACAGCTGAAAGTTCAATAGATATTTTTCATTTTTAAGTTATTCATAATTTCTCACTTGTGTGATATGATAAGCATGATGATTTTGGAAAGCATTCCCAAAAAGTAAATGCCAAACAAAATCCTGTTCCCATGGAGCCAGCAAGACAGAACATTTGAATTCACTGTGTTTTACTGAGAGACAAATGCACTTGTTGGTGAAAACCAGAGCATTTCACAGACAATAGGTGCTATGGATGGGATCCTGAAAGGCATTAGGCACACATTAGATGATTTATAAAACATGTTTATAGACACAAAAATCAATGTTGACATATGAAGATTGATAAGAAAATCTACCAGTATTTGGGTGGTTATATCATTTTTTTTTGGTGACAAAATGTACAGGAGAATCAAATTATTCAAGTAA